AGCATGGAAAAAGTATTTATACTTAATCATTATCAAAACTTGTCTGCCTTAGAAGATGCCACTCTCCTTAGACCTATATTAAACATCTAGTTACCACTCTCTCTAGTCTTATATTAAACATCTAGTTACCACTCTCCTTAGTCCTATATTAAACATCTAGTTACCACTTTCCTTAGTCCTATATTAAACATCTAGTTACCACTCTCTCTAGTCTTATATTAAACATCTAGTTACCACTCTCTCTAGTCTTATATTAAACATCTAGTTACCACTCTCCTTAATCCTATATTAAACATCTAGTTACCACTCTCTCTAGTCTTATATTAAACATCTAGTTACCACTCTCTCTAGTCTTATATTAAACATCTAGTTACCATTCTCATTAGTCCTATATTAAACATCTAGTTACCACTCTATCTAATCCTATATTAAACATCTAGTTACCACTCTCTCTAATCCTATATTAAACATGTAGTTATCACTCTCTCTAATCTTATATTAAACATCTAGCTACCACCCTCCTTAGTCCTATATTAAACATCTAGTTACCACTTTTTCTAATCCTATATTAAACATCTAGTTACCACTCTCTCTCTAGTCTTATTTTAAACATCTACTTACCACTCTCTAATCCTACATTAAACATCTAGTTACCACTCTTTTTAGTCCTATATTAAACATCTAGTTACCACTCTCTGTAATCCTATATTAAACATCTAGTTACAACTGTACTTAGTCCTATATTAAACATCTAGTTACCACTCTCCTTAGTAATATATTAAACATTTAGTTACCACTCTAATTAGTCCTATATTAAATATCTAGTTACCACTCTCCTTAGTAATATATTAAACATTTAGTTACCACTCTAATTAGTCCTATATTAAACAATTAGAATCAGATCTTAACCATAACTAGTCTTACTTCGCTCCTGAAGTACAGGCTATGTATGACTGAATTATATATTAATTAGAATCGACACTTTATAAGTAAGATGTGTTGTATTTAAGCTCGTATTCTACTTTTACATATTATGAAAATTAAACTTTTTATTCAGACATCCTTTACATGTTTATGAAAGTTTACATTGGTAAGTATCGTAGAAATAAAGCTGTCACATTTCAAGACTAAATCTTAAATGTTTGTTTTTAAAAAGTGCCGTGATGCTATCAACATCTAAGTGATCAAAATTTAGATGTAAACTTCTTTTCAGTACTTGAGAAAGAACATTAAAATGAATGAAACCTATATTATTATAAAAATGTTTTCTCGTCAGCATTTTTTTTATTTCTTTATAGTTCGTCGTATCTTTAACAACAAGTTCTTGTCCAATAATATACTACATAAATTCAGTCCTCTTTTGTAGAGTAACTCTACAAATATTAATTTAATGTTAGGAATCAGCATTTTCTAATGCTATGAATAAAACTTCAAACATGTATAATCTATTTTATGTTTTTCTGCATACAACTTATTTGTTAGGCTTGACATGATCTGGTGGTTAGAGTATTCCAGTCGCAATTTGAAAATTTCGTGTTTGAATCCCGTCACCAAACATACTGTTGCGTCAGCGAAGTCACATGACTAGTGTCACGCCACGTTTCTAGAACTATCCTGTACTTTGGCGAATGCTCTAGCATTTACTAGATATAGGGTAGTCTGGTATATAAAAGAGGGTGACAACGTGACGGGACAATAATGTGTGTGTTGATAGTGAGTAATTGAACTGCAGTCAGAAGTATTGTTGACGTTCGTTGATATAGCGTTTATTATAGAGCGACTGTTGAAAATAAGTGTATCGTAAAGTTGTATTTGGAAAGAATAAACCAGTTTTATTAAGTAAGGACTTGTGTCGCTAAAGTTTCGTCCGAACGAAGTTACAGAAAATCAATTAACAAACGGAGACGTAACAAATTGGTGTCAGAGAGTGGGACAAAAAAAAATCAAACTACAAAATTTGAGCTCCTGGCAGAAATGAATGGATGGACGGAGGAGCAGATAGTAGTGTATCTTGCAACGAGCTTGAAGGGACAACCACTGGAAATACTTGGACAGTTGTCAGAAGACAACAGGCACAACTATAGAGCCCTGTTAACTGCTCTAGAACTCAGGTATGGAACTCAAAATCAGTCCGAAGTCTACAGGGCTAGGTTTAGGATGAGAGTCCATGCTAAAGGGGAGAGCCTGCAATAGCTGGCACAGGATTTGGAAAGTATGGCACAGAAGGCCAACCCAACTGCACAACCCTATGTCCTCAAGCTGTTGCTGAGGGATCAGTTTATAGATGCCTGGGACAGTCCACAACTAAAGATACAAGTGAAGAAAGCACACCCCTCTACTATGAAGGATGCAATGGCCAGAGCTCTTGAATTCGAATCCTACGTTAAATCCAACACAGAGGTACCAAGGTTCGTACAGTCATCAGGATTCAAGGCCAGAGAAAAACAGCTTTCAGAGAAATATGAGGGACTTTACTGGTACTGTAACAAACCTGGGCACAAGAGAGCTCAATGTCGGCAACTTCAACACAGGGAAAATGCCACGGTAAAAAAGGCTGCTATCCAGAGAGGTTGTTGGAACAGTGGAGAGCAAGGACATATGAGGAGCCAGTGTAAGAAGAATACTACCAATAAGTCAGCCTCGGGGAGACCAGTAGTGGTTGGTGCTGAAGGATGCCCACCAACCCCCATCGTGTGAGTCCCAACAGCTCGGTGTAAAATGCCAAACACACATAGTGTCTATGT